GTACCTTAAGAAGCTCAGATTCAAACATGATAAAGGAAATACCCACTCTAAAATCATTGATGACTCCGACATAAAATTACAGCTTTATTTTTCGCATTTGAAAATATTAATAGAAAATCAATTGATTTTTTATTAATACATTTATTCATTAAATTTCAACTCAATAAACTATTTTATAAAATTTAATCAATAAAAAAATCAACTTATTATTATAATCTGTCATTATATAAAATGAAGTCACTTATTAATTTAGGGACGAAAATAGTAGTAGTAGTTGCTTATAAGGAAAGGGATATATTCCTATATGATTGAGGTTGTGGGATTGGGATTGGGATTGGAAATGCATTGAAAACAAAACAAAACCATTTATTAGTTTGTTTAATTGTAGTGACATGAGCAAGCAGCAAACAAAACCATTGACCCGCCTTCATAGAGCTGTGCCTAGCACACATCAAATTAATATTCGGAGTGTCTATAATTTGTAGGATTCTTCCATGTTTAGTGATCCGAAAATAGCCAAAGATATTGATTAGTCCTATCAATTTTATAGATAAAAGAAACTTTGTTAATTAATTGTTAAGATTTAATCTTTGTTTGCTAATCAATTAAAAAAAGACACGTCTGTTAACTACATTCCAAATTACTAAAATGTCTCTTGGCTTTTAATTGAATATTCAAACACACATGTGTATCATCCACAAGACATTATTAAATTAATTCATTCTAGAACTCATATATATCATCAACAAGAAATATATATATATATATATATATATATATATATATATATATATATATATATATATATATATATATATATATATATATATATATATATATATATATATATATATATATATATATATATATATATATATATATATATATATATATATATATATATATATATATATATATATATATATATATATATATATATATATATATATATATATAAAATTCATAACTATATTATAAATCATAAAACATAATCGTTTTTCCAAAATCACAATAAAAAAAAACGACACTAATAAAATTGTATATAAAATAAAATAATAAATAAAGATCAATTCCACTAAATTAATTAAAGATTGTCATTACAAAAGCTACACCTAGGATTTAAAAGATCAAATACAAAAATGAATAAAATAAAGTATAAAAAAAAGAAGACAAAGTTCTTAAGTCTCAAGAACAACATCAATAAGCTCATGTCTTAAAGGGTTTTTGTCAACCTTAACAATTCTGTCGGTAATCGCCATCTCCTTCGAGAAATATTTCCTTCCAAGCTCAATATCCAGGTCCTTGGTGAATTTAGGATAAATTTCCTCCACCAATTGCTCATCCAACACGACTTTGAAGAATTTCAGAGATAAGACCATTCACTCTTGCCTCCTCGTGATCAACCTTTAAAGACTAGATAATATAAGTATGACCCTCAACCATTTTCATAAGCAAGTCAATGCCGACCTCAGCTTCGTAGAGCTTGTGACAATGAGTTTTTCAAAGGCTATCCATAGATTTTTTCTTATCCAAGAGGGAATCTCGTTCCTCCTTCACCACCTTCGACCGTTCTTCAAAAGAGGACATCATCTCCTTGGCTGAGGTCAATAATTTGTGATTAACTTATTGAGCTTCTTTCAACTTGGTAAGCTCGCCTTTCAGCTCATTTTCTCTTTGGTTTGGTTGGAGGAATTTGAATCCTCAAAGAGAACTCTCCCTAAAAAAAAATATTGTTCATCAAGAAAGTTCTCAGAAGCTACATTATCTTCTAAGCACCCATGGTTTTTGCTTTCTCGGCATTCTCGATTGTGTTGAGGTGATCATAGAGGAAAGTCAGCATGTCAACGATCATGTCCATAATTTATACTCCCCTTCGACTTTGGCAGAGGAAGAGCCCCTTGTTGAGGTCTACGACCATCTTTTCTCACCATCAGTCCATTTTCCTCCAGGTCAATTGAATGAGTGACACTAGAGTATGCATGCGATTTTCCCAAATCTGCTTTATTTTTCTTTGATGAGGAGACTTTGGTCCCTCTAGGACAGAGCTGGAAGAAAGGATCATAGAAACAACCTTCACCATGCTCCCCTCTTCTAAAATTTTCCTTTTTCTTGGTACCTTTGTCTGAAAACCAGTAGGGTCACTCTGGTGCACGGATTGGGTCTTGCTTCGACGGACTTTCGCCTTTTCCATCACCGCCTTTCTCTCAACCACAAAAACATGAGTTATCCTAGATGCAAAATCACAAGGAATAATAGAAAACAAAAAATAGGCAAAGAAAGGCAAGGCGACCAAACAAAGATGGCGAAAACACATTACTCCAAAATTTTAACAGTTTGGGATAGTCGACCTCGTATCGGAATATGTCTCATACCCGTATAATATATAACTCTTCCAGAAATTTAATCTCTCTTTCTTTGTCTCACTCGACCTACTTGGGTCATAACCCATAGTCATGACAGGCTCACCAATACAATAAAGAGGAAATCAATGAGACCCATCTTCATCATAAATAACTGCATGGCAATGGACGATTCCTCTGACCCAGACATATTTATCCTTCTAGCCATTCTAGTTGGAAGAGTACGGGAAATACAAGACCCGACCATGAATGAAGCTCATAGACTCCATTCCCCCTTAACCACACCTTTAGTCTCATAAAATGAAAAGAAGATGCAGGTGGTGGGCGTGATACCATGACTCCAACAAATCATCTCGAATTCTCGAAGAAAAGTTCAACTATTAAGATTAAAGGGAATATCCATCCCAAAATCATTAATGACCCCGATATAAAATTACAACTTTATTTGTCGCTTTAGAAAATATTATTTAAAAATTAATTAATTTTTTATTAATACATTTATTCATTAACTTTCAACTCAATAAACTATTTTATTAAACTCAATAAAAAAATAAAAAACGCTCAACTAATTTTTATAATCTAACATAATATAAAATGAAGATACTTATTAGTTTAGGGACGAAAAGAGATAAGAAAAGGGATATGTTCACTATATGATTGAGGTTCATGGGATTGGGAATGCATTTGAGAACAAAAAAAACCATTTGTTAGTTTGTTTGATTGTAGTGACATGAGCAAGCAGCAAACAAAACCATTGACTCGCATTCAAGAGCCGCCGCCATGTATAGTGATATGTTTGGTGATCCAAAAATGGCCAAAAGATATTGATTAATCCTATCAATTTAAGAAGAAAAAAAACTTTGTAATTAATTGTTAAGATTTGATCTTTGTCAGTTAAAAAAAAGATACATCTGTTAACTACATTCCAAATTACTGTAATGCCTCTTGGCTTTTAATTGAATATTCAAACACATGTGTATCATCAACAAGACATTATTAATTTGATTCATTCTAGAATTCACATATAACATCAACAAGACATTATTTAAATTCATTTATTCTAGAACTCATAACTATAAAGAAAATTCATAACTATACTTAAAAATATACATTCTAGAATTGATAGTTTCTAGGAGTGTACAAAATATTTTACTAGAATTAAATGATTAAATCTTGAATCATCATATTTTTTTATTAAAATTATACAACATTTTTATACTCTTGAAAAAATTAGATAACCTATTTTTATTATTTTTTATGATCATAAAATAATAATAAATAATAAATTATAACATTAATTAATAAAAATTATAATAAAATATTGATAACAAATTAAAGTTGTCTGACATAAAATCGTATTAGCACTCAAATAGTTAAAGAGTAAATTATTTAAAATTAATTAAAATCATGATTCACAAAAATAATAAATAAATAAATAAATATTTAAGAGATTCAAATTGTAAAATTAAATTAATATTCATCAAAATTATTAAAATTATAATAATAAAAAACATATCAGTGAATCAGTGAATTTTTTGAGTTGAGTTCGGTTTTATTCAAAACCTAATATGTTTAATAAATTTTTTAATTTTCAAATTCATATTCACCAAATTATCTGATCTAATCTATTTTTTTAAATTTTTTAAAACAGATTTAACTGAGTTTTATAGGTTTATCCAACCCATATATATTCCGGATAGCTCCCCACCTTTGCCTTGTTAATTAGAGACTCTCATTTTTATAACTATCAACATCAACTAAGCAAAGTGTTGTATATATTCGTCACTTTCAATGTCTTTAAGTCTCATTCATTCAAAAACATTATCTCATAAACTAATTCCTATAAAATACAATTATTGATTAGTAAAAGTGAATAATCATTTTTGAAAGATTTAAACCTAAAAAAATCATGATTTTGTTGAGACTAAAAATATATTTAGAGTCACATATTCATTTTCAAGAAAATATCTCATAAAAATAATTCTTATTATTAAAAAAAATCATAACAAATATATAAATATTTAAAATTATTTTTTAAAACAATTTAAATACAATTTTCATTTAATTCTTTTTACAATAAAATATATTATTTAATATTTTTAACAAAAATATGTAGCACTTAAAGAAATATTAAAAAGAACCCTTAATCTATAACATTATATATGAGATGCAACCAAGAATTTTCAACCCTTGTTCCTCGTTGTTGCTCACTAGCATCATGTTAGAGTATATCACCAATGTGTCCCTTTTTTTCTTGACCCATTCAATGGCCTAAAATATTGAAGCTCGAAGTTTTCACATTAGAAATAGTCAATAATTTCAATATTAATTCCATGGATTGTTCACTTTTTGCTTTCTAAGGACACATAAAATTAGTATGAATATGCACCATAGTCTTTTAGCCAAAAAAATAAGGACCCACATGGTAGAAAAACACACTCACCATCTTTTCCTTGTCTTTTCTTCTTAATAAATACCACCTTCCTCTCACCTTCATTTTTGAGCATACCCTTCACATAATCACTTATATCTCCTCCTCAAATCAACACTTCCTCAACAATCTCACTTCAATTTCAAAAAAAAAAAAAACTATCTTTTTGAAGTTTTTCATTTAGCCTATTTTACCAACAAATTTCAAAAATGGAAGAGAACATTAAGTGTGAACTAAGACAAGGTAAGGAACTAGCAAAGCAACTTTGTGGTCAATTTTTGTCTTTAACATCATCATCAAATTCATCACATGAAGCAAATGAAGTGTTAATTGATAAAATACTTTTGGCTTTTGAGAAAGCAATTACCATGGTGAAAGATAATGTGGGAAATTTGAAGACAAAAAATGTCAACATGATTGATTCTCATTGTCCAAATGGAAGTCCTAAAAGTGAGGTTCAAGATTCTGAGTTCAAGCAAAAACATGTTTCCAAGAAAAGGTATTGTCTTAAGTTAAAAAATTATTGTTTTTCAAGGTTCATTGTTTCATAATAATTTTTCTTTATATGATTCTTTGAATTTTTGGATGTAGAAAAACCATGCCTAAGTGGACAGAACAAGTGAAGGTGCATTTAGGAACAGCTTCTGAGGGGTCTATGGAGGATGGTTATAGCTGGAGAAAGTATGGACAAAAGGATATTCTTGGAGCTAAGTTTCCAAGGTAAAAATCATTGTTCATTATAATTTTAAAAATTCATGGTGAAATCATGGCCTTATCTTACTAAAATATCATTGACCAATCAAAATAAAATATAAAAAGAGAACAAAAATCAAACAGCTAGATAAAACGAAAGAAGGTATCCAAAGGACAAAGAAAGATTCAATTCTGGTAGGTGCAATAGTGTGCTAATTACTAATGAGGCTCAGTACGCTGTGCTCAAAATAGAAAGGACATAGGAAAAGGTTAACAATTGTACTAAGTTGATGTTTTTGTGTTTTATCATTCATACCAAATATCATGCAATCATAGATTTACTAATTTTATAGTCAGAAAAAAATTCAATAAAAACCGCAATATCATTACTCTGAAATTCAATTAATAGCTATAAATATTTATATTACAGTTCAGTTGATAGTTGCGAAAATTTATATAGATATTTAAATTATGTTTTTTCTTGAATTTTTTTTCTTATTATTTGATAAATTGTGATTTGTAATGCAGAGGATATTACAGATGCACACATAGAAATGCACAAGGTTGTCTAGCTACAAAACAAGTGCAAAAATCAGAATATGATCCAATGATATATGAGATAACCTACAAAGGAAGACACACATGCATCCAATCTAGTCATTTGAACAAACCACATTCATCAAAAAAGATGAAATTTGGACAAAACAATTCACAATTACCCAATCAAAAAATTCAACCTCAAGAAGAAAAAACTCAACCTACAACCCAAGAGAAAATTTTCACTTTTGACAACAAAGAGGATGTGTTTCCATCATTCAATTTTTCTTCTCCAACAATAGGATCTGAAAATGAAGATAACAAGATCTTTTTAGAGACATTGATTGAAAACAATTTCATGGAAAATGAAGACAAAAACAATATATTCTCCGAATCAAACGTTTTGACTTTGTCACTATTGGATTTGGACACTATTGGGCTAGGCCCAAGTGAGTCTGACATGAGTGATATGATTTCAGGCCTAAATTCATTTGTCGATTCGTCGATAGATTTTGATATCTTTGATGATATAAACTTTGACATGGATTTTTCTAGCAACATTCAAGAACTTTACTATTGATCAATTGTCACACTTTGATAATTGTGTATGTAAGTTTTGTAGATCAAGATTAGTAAAATTGAAGAGAGTGTGAAGAGAATTTAGTATTAATGATGTGTGTCTAAATATAAGAATAATGAAACTTCATTTTCTTGTAAAAATCATTTGTCTTCTTTTTATTCAAGCAAAGGAAGAACGTGTGGAATAAATAGTTTTTAGTTTCTATCAAATAAAATTGGTATCAATGCATCATTTCATTAAAGAGAAGATATAATACATTATCCCACCTATCTTTTTTAAATGCTGCTTTTGTAGAAGGATTGGTATTTAATTGTCGTTATCAAAATTGAATGCAAAGTTAATTATTATTCTACTTACAAAGAAATATTAGTTGAATAAAATAAAAATAGTAAAAGTCATTATAGTAAATTTAAGAATAATCTTATATCAAAACTAGTAAAGTTTGTAGATTTTTCATTACCAAAAAAAAAAGTTTATAATTTTTTTATGAAATGTGTAAATAATGAAAACGAACAAATAATGAGTAATGAATATAATTTTATAAAATTATTGTACTTATTTATTTGTCTGTTTATTGTTTTTATGAATAAGAATTCGTTTATCAATTTTTTAAATAATGAAATAATAAAGGTCTCTTTCAACTTAACTAAATTCATTTAAACTAATTTTTACTTCTCTCAAAAATTGGGAAAATTTGAGACGAGAGAATATTTGTTTTATATTTAAATTTAAATTTATTTTAATTTTAAATATTACATTAATAAAAATATATATCATTATACAACTTTCTTCTACATTACTTACTTGTTCTCCTTTACATTAAAACTAGATTGTTGATATGATGCACGAATATTTTAAGATTGAAAACTATAATATTTATTAAAAGTTGATATTTTATTATTATTAATATTAGTCTTAGTTTATAAATATTACATTATATATTAACATATTTTTTATTAATATTATTTTCTTATTTAATTTTATCTTTTATTATTATTATTATTATTATTATTATTATTATTATTATTATTATTATTATTATTATTATTATTATTATTATTATTATTATTATTATTATTAAAATATTCGCCATAAAATTGAATTTTTTTATCGAATTTAATTTTTTGTTTCAATATTATCATTAAAATATTTATTATAAATTAAAAAATTTAATCGAATTTAATTATTTGTTTTAATATAGTTGAATTTAACTCTTTATTTAAATGATTTACTTCTTTGGCGTCACTATATTATTTATTCTTTGCATCAAATTTAATTTTTTTTATAAATAATTTTGTTTCAATGACTTATTATTATCATTAAAACCTTTATTATAAATTAAAATATGTCATATAAAAAAAAATCTTGTATATTTAAAAAATTTGACGCAGTCATTGTTTAAACAAATAATCTAAATAAAATAAAATATATTATTAATGGTATAATTATACAAATTTTAATAAAAATGAATGATTAGGCACACATTTTTAAACAAATTTTCTATAAGTTATGTATAATTTCAAACCATATATATGTTGTTCTTCTGCACACAAAAAAATTAACAATTATGAGAACACGTGTCAATTGAAAAATATTGAATATAAAAATAATAAAAAATTTATAATTCAGGGTGTCCATAGTGATATACTTATTAAGGAAAATGAATTGAAATAAAAAGAAACGAATATGTGTGAATTTAGAAGGAGAAAAATATCATATCATAAAAATAAGAATATATCATATCTATAATAGAAAGATGAGTGATACATTATTAAACTATTAGAAGATAGAAATAGTTGGAAAAAAACTTAAATTATGAATCACTATATACTAAATAATAACAATATATATATAGTATAGATCACTATGTTGAACGTGTTTTCAATAGCAAATGGCTATATATACTAAATAATAACAACATCATTGTGATAGTTGCAAAGCCAATAAAATATTTCTTTTATTATTAGTATAAATTTAATTAGTAGTTATAAAATTATGAATAACGGTAAAGTAAAGAAGAGATTTAGATGTATAACGGTGCAAATGCAGTAAAGAATAGACTTAGATATATACCAGTGCAAATGCGAATGATTATTATTATATGAATATGTTTATAGAAAATATATTATTTAATAAAATGTTTATAAACTTTAATTTATCATACCACATAATAATATATAGTTCAATTTTAAAATTATTATTTTTATAAAATTTGATCTCTTTCGTTTTTTTAACATATATTTTTTGGTTTAGAAAAAATATTTATATATATGGTTACATGCCCAATATTATTATTATTATTATTATTATTATTATTATTATTATTATTATTTGAGAATTAAAGATTTTTTTTTATAAAAAATTGAAAATTAAGATAGTAAGATATAATAGTGTTAATTAAATATATTATTATTATTATTATTATTTATAATTATGATAATTTATTATTATTATTATTATTATTATTATTATTTATTTTAATATAAAAATAAATTTTAATATAATATCACATAAGCATTAGAATTCTAATAAGATACCACATCAGAATTAGGGTTAGGGTTATGTTTAATCTTAGATTAAGTAAATAGATATATTTACATTTTAAATAAATATTAGTAAAAAATGGCTAACAGTTGAATTTAATGCCAGTCAAGTTTCTCTCAACCGAATAAAGAATATGATAATACGAAACAATTGAATACATGAAGATGGTCAATTTTTTTTAAGCCCACCTAGTTTCACAAAGGTAGTGAAATTGTTAACTTACTCAAAATAAAATAGCACCTACTAATTTATATTTGAGTAATATTATTTTTACATCAATATTTACATTCAATACTATTTATCGTATTTACCTCAGTTTTCAGCGGATAACAGTTCTCTATGTCATGCTCTAGAGCATCTTGATGAAAAGCACAAGTGACATCAGCTTTGTAATACCAGGGAAGTTTTCAGGAATAACGGGAGGAGACCTAGTCTGAACCAGGTTCTTTTGAATCAATGCAGGAAATAACTCAGCATAACTCAGGAATGGGATCAAAGGAGTTCCTCTTCTGGATCTGCCCTTGATTACCCTGTTGGTAAGACTGTTAATGTGTTCTTTGGAAAGGTTCATAAGCCACTGTTGCAGGATCTATTCTAACAACTGAACCAACGTGTTACTGATGACGGTGATTTCTTCCACGAGATCTCCCTTGCCTTTCCTGAGAAATGGCATTAGAATCTCCTACTTTATTTTTAGAAAACCCATAGGTGTGCTTCCTAGTAGAACTTCCAGAACTTTCATCTTTTGACAAACGACATTCTCGGATAACTTCTTCTAAGCGAATACCCATTACGGTCATCTCTGTAAATACACTTGGCGCACTGGCCACCATCTTCTCATAATAAAATGAACCAAGAGTCTTTAGGAAAATTTTGGTCATTTCTTTCTCCTCTATAGGGGGAATAACCTGAGCTGCAATCACGCGCCAACGCTGCACATACTCCTTAAATGACTCCTTAACTTTCTGAGCCATAACACTGAATTGATCACAGTCAGGCGCCATGTCTATGTTAAACTTGTACTGCCTAACAAATGCTTCACCAATGTCATTAAAAGTACGGATCTTGGAACTGTCCAAGCGCAAATAACATTTCAACACAACTCCAGTTAGACTATCCTGGAAATAATGGATCAACATACGCTGACCATCATTAGGGGTGGACATCTTCCTGACATACATCACAAGGTGACTCTGTGGACAAGAGTTTCCCTTGTATTTCTCAAATTCAGGAACTTTGAATTTAGCTGACACCTTAACATTAGGGACAAGGCAGAGATCACTGACATTCTTATCAAATAATTCTTTACCCCTGAGGGCTTTCATTTCCTTCTGTGTATCTAGGAACTGATCCTAAAAACCATTCATACGGTCGTAAATGCCCAAGATCTCACTTGGTGCAGCAGTAGCATGGTAAATCAGATCCTTAACAACAAAAGTAGTATGCACAATAGGAGGTGTAGTAACCATAACAAGTTAAATAGGATTAGAAACTTTGACAGTTGGATTATAACCTTTGGGAACAAATTTCTCAAGCATACCCCAAGGAAAACCATGTGACATCCGATGCTGAGCAGCAACACTGGCAGGAGCAACATGAACTGAAGTAGAAACAACTTCAGAAATAATAGTGACTTGAGGTTGATTCTGAGCTTTAGACTAATTAGGAGCTTGATTCTGAGCTTGAGCAACAATCAAAGTTCAACCAGAGCAGTCTGATGGGCCATGCCAATTCTCAAAGTGGTGACTTCTTTCCTTAGTTCCCTGTTTTCTTGTTCGATGTTTTCCATCATTCTCTTGTGATTAGCACGAGTGTTGTATGAATGTGATAGCTTGACTGAACGAAGACCAAAAGAAATGAATAAGACCCTTGGAAAACTTTTGGAATGCAAAAAATCAAGTGCATAATGATGCATGATATGTAATGCAAGTGATTTATTTATTCAGTTTTCAAGGAACTTAGGAAGTCATAACAATTGCAAACATTAAAAGGGGATAACAAATTTGAAATATTGAAAATATCACTTTATTAATAATTTGGAAGGATTATAATTTTGAAGTACAAAAGTTTCAAAAGATTCCTAAAGGAGAAAAGAGAAAGTTAGAATCTAAGGGTCCTAAGGAACCATATCCCCACTCCATGCTTCCGTTTCCTTTTGAACCTTCTAATCTGACTCTTCAATCGAGTATTTTCTATCACAAGCTTGTCAGCAACACCCTTCCAAGAACCAAAGGTAGGAAGAATGTGAGAATGATCCTGAATACTAGGAACATGCTGAATACTAGAAGAAAATAAACCCTCTTGTTCCTCCATCCTTTCCACAGCATGCTGCTCAATAATCTAAATCATATCATCCTTCTCTTTCAACTGCTTCTGAAGCGATGAATATTCCATATCCATAACTTGATATTTTTTACTCCAAGCATCCTTCTCTTGTTGCATCTTGACCAAAGTAA